AACGACACTTTCTTCCTCCCTCCCTCCCCCTCCCCTCCTCTCTCTCTCTCTCTCTCTCCAGTATTTAAAAAAGAAAAAGAAAGGGAGACTAGTAACGGCGATGCTCTCGGCAAGCACTGTGCTCGCCGCACGCGCGCTCATCGACCGCAAGTCTCCGCAGCTGTGGGGAGCTCCAGGGGCCCCTATTATCCGCATGCGCGGCCACCACGTGGTGTGGAAGTTTCAGTCGTACGACATGTTTGTCGAACACACCCACCGTCGCCGGCACTCTGATACTCGCCTGCTGCACTACCTCGGGAAGCACTGCCCGCATCCTCAGAAGTCTCTCTGGTCGCCCGACACGCCGGTCACGCAGGACCGCCATCTGTTTATGCTGACCACGGTAGACGTGGATGCGTTCAAGTACTGGTTTGGCGTGAAGCGGTGCCGCTTGTCGGTTGGCCCGTGGAACATTCTCGCCAAGTCGGGTCTGCTGCCGCCGTCGTACCGCCAGAACTCGAAGATTATGCCGAAGCCTATCTTCGATAAGGCGAATTTGATGAAATACTATCTGGCAAACCGCAAGGATCTGCGCGTGCAGGAGCGGGAGGCGTACCTGAACTACAAGAACAGCATCGTAAAGACCCCCGAAGAGCGCGCAGCTGAGCGGCCAGTCGCACCGTTTTTGTAAAGGGCGAAGGAGGATGGTGGGAGCCGGTGTTTTCCCGAAAAGACACTCGCTTCACCGCGGAGGTTGTGATGTCGTTTGTGTGCTTTGGCGCGTTCTTTTGCGTGTGTGTTGTTCCACTCTCGCCAATGAAGACTGTCGGGGTTCCACATTGCAGGTCGTTGTAAATACAAGAGTTAAAGTAGAGAGATCGGAAAGCGGTGTTGAGGAAAGGAGAGCTGCATGAAGTGAAACGTTGTCGTTCAAGCAGCGTTTCCTAGCGCCAATTTCACCGCCGACCGCTCCTGCGGGAATCACCACTTCCGTTCGTTGGTCTGTCAGAAGAGTCGTCGACAGCAGCGACGGATTTTCTCCCTCCAAATGGAAAGGAAGCAGCCAATCGGTGATGCAGAGCTGAAACTCAAGATATATATGTATTGACAGTTCTCCATGTAGCACATCGCACTCTCAAGCTGCTCTCTCCCCCTTCCTTTTCTCCGTTACTGCTCCGTGACTTGTGCGCGTGGCATTCCTTCACGGCCATTCCATTCCTCGCCTCACAGCAACATAGGAGCCGAAGCGCGAGAACACCAGTTTTTTCTCCACAAACGCCAAGAATCAAAAATGGAGTCTCCCATCAATCCGGCAGTGTGGCAGGTGCTGTACAACGCCGCCCTCGGCACCCTCTCCGCTGCTGCGCTCTACTCCGTCTACCACCAGAAGTACGACATGGAGTCCGGCCAGCGTGCGCTGTTTGTGGAACTGGCCAAGGCGACCGCCGAGGAAGACCGCATCGCGAAGTTGGCCGCGATCGAGGCGGGCTGCCGCCCTGAGGTGGTGCGTCGTCAGCCCGCTGCTCGCATGAGCGCCCTCAAGTACGGAGCGCCGGTGGTGCAGATGGCAAAGCTGCAGAAGGACGGCGCCAACGTGGCGAGCGTGCGGGCGGCGGTGAAGGTCATTCTGTACATCTACGGCCCTGACGAGAGTGGACGCGCACAGCTGCAGAGCCTCGGCGGGTTCAAGACGCTGCTCACGACGCTCAGCGAGGCGCAGCGGCAAGGCGAGGAGGAGCTGATGGAGGAGGTCGCGCAGGCGCTGAATGCGCTGACGGAGGTGGATGACTCCGAGGTGGTGCTGGACACCGACGTGCCGGCGGGCAGCGAGGGTGCTGCGGCACTGGCACGCATGCCGGCCACCGTAAAGATGCTCCGCATCCTTGACCCGGAAGGCTCGGTGACCTTCCTCATCTCCATGACCGGCATCTTCGCGAACATCTGCACTCTGACAGAGGGCGCGACGAACGTCGGCCGCGGTACGGACGGCCACTCCGGTATGTCGTACTTCCTACACCTCCTCGACCACACCAACCGCCGCGTCGTGGCGAACGCCGTGACTGTGGTCCGCTTCTTCGCCCGCGCGCAGATCGGTCAGGAGGAGCTGGTGGAGACGGAGAACATCACCCGCCTGGCCGACAGCCTGCAGGTGACGGCGGAGCCGGTGGTGGTGAACTCCATCCTGACGGTGATTCTCGTGATGGCGGGCAGCAAAAAATACGGCGAGGCCTTCTTCTCTGGCGTGGCCTCGAGCACCATCCCTGCCACGCTCTTTGAGCTGTGGGTTCGCGGCTCCGAGAAACCGCTGCGCAGCCGTGCGGAAGTGCTCTCCCGCCTGCTGCTGCGCATCCCCCAGACGGCACCGGTCGTCGCCGCGTTGTTTGAGCGCTTCCGCGTGCAAATTGAGGAGCGCCGCCGCCGCGACGAGGAGGAGTACAAGCAGCAGATGCAGCAGATGCAGCAGAACCAAATGATGCAGCGCATGATGATGGAGCAGATGGGCATGGACCCTTCGATGATGGGGTAAGCGGTGGTGGTGAGGCGAGACGCTTGTAGTTGCTGTGTTGGATGCAACGGCAAGCAGCAAGACAGCGGACGAAAGGGTTTATCCTTCAAAAGACATTGACCCGCTTTCTTTTTTATGTCTTGTATCCCTCTCTCCGGTGCTTCGTTTTCTGTGCAACTGAAGACGCGTTGTTGCTGTTGAGGTTGCGGCGAGTGCACCTTTGTCGACGGCGCTGTTTGTTGTCTTGCCTTCTCTTTTTTTCTTGTTTGGCTTTCGCCCGTGATCTTTTTGATATAATAATATATTGTAACAATCGCGCGGGCGAAGCCACTTAACTCACAGCACAGCAGCGGAAGGAGAAGAAAGAGCGCAAGAGCGAGGGGAAAAACAATCTTTGGTAGTTCCATCAGCTGAAACCTGCTTGACTCGAAGCGGCAACTGATATCTTCATTTTTTTCCATTTTAAAGATGCGTTGTCGTGTTGGATCATCACAGATTGTTATAGGGTGCCGATGCTGGATCATTGGGAAAGGAGAATGCTTGATGTAAGCAGCGAATTGAATGTCATGCCCTACAAATGGAAAGAGAACAGTTAGCAGGTCGCAGGCGGTGTGCGCATCACGGATCTTTTGTTTTCTTTTCCCAAGTTCCCTGCGAGTGTTTTTTGTTGTTGTTTCCCGTTTCGTTGTCGATGATGGAGATGTTTGTGTATTGTGCGACGCCTCAGCCCTCCTTTCATTACTGTGCCTGCAGATAAAGGCAAATAAAAAAGATTCTGCCGTTTGAATAAATAAGGGCGGAAAATAGTAAAACACTTCTGAACTGCAGAAGTCGCTTCGCTTTCCAAGTATTTTTGATGGACATGCTGCTGTGCACGTTGGCGAAGTCTTCAGTGAATGCTTGCGAGGCTGCCTTTGCACGGGTGCGACGGGTGTCGTGGCCGTGGCGTGCATCACATCATCCCCCCCTCCCCTGTGCGGCGACCACAAAGGAGAACGCATTAGCGACGACTACAATCTTGCGAATCGGTGTACCTTCTCTGTCTCACTCTTTCTTCTCTTCTGCCCATTTATTTGACGAATCGTTGATATATATATATATATATATATATATATATATATATATA